CCGTTTTAAGCTCTACAACTTTTCTATAGAACTTCATAAGAAACGTATTCACTCGACCGGTTTTTCGTCGATTTTCGTTGCAAAATTGGTCCATTTTAAATATTAAATTTTTAAAATCGGATGAGTAGTTTCAGAGATTATCTCCTACATTCAAAAAAGAGTCGACTGTTTATCAAAAACCGACAGCAATTCCACTTTTTGGTTACTCAACCGATTTCTCTTTATTGTTTCCGAAATTCCGAAGTTTGCAACATAATTTAATAATCAAATTAACCTGCAGATACCTGTTTCGCATTACCAATAAATTCAACTTATAAATAGTGATTACGTATAGATTATTATGAAAAGCAGCAAATTTCAGGATTAAAAATGAATATAAATTTTACATTGAAGGTATTATTTATCACTTGGTAATTTTATAATGAGATTATTTATTTATGGGTCAAAAAACAAGTTTAAAGACTTTCACATTTTCCGTGTTAATAAGATGTCACGTATCTGTTTATTTACAAGCATCGTTGTTCTTGTTTACTGCTAACGCTTTTTATAGTTAATTATAGTGATTTTCATCCACGTTATCAAGCACTTTTAGTTGCCCTTTTAAGAATGCCGTTTACTTTAATTATTGTACTTCTACAATCGTGAATGTTAACGCCTAAAATTTACATTAGATATTACTGAGTAGGCACGGATGGTTGCACAAAAATTATGGTGTTATATGTATTTCTTGATATTCAGGAAGCATTGTTACAACTTGCTAATATTTTTTGTGTAGTGGTTGAAGTGAATGTAGGTAGTAAAAAACAGGCATATGAAAGAAATCTGCGCGAAGATAGAAAGAATTCACACTAGGCGTGAGCAAGACAGAAATAGTTGGAACAAGCTTGCACGAGCAGACCTCTCGATGGGCGGTCTTAGAAGATCGGCTAGTATTGTACGGTACCAGACGAAAATGTTTAGTAATTTCTTAAAACAAAAATGTATATAAATTAACAATAAAAAACAAAGCAAAGGTTTTGTAGGTGCGTAGAACGTTAAGTTAATTCACTTGTTATTATTTTTGGCTAAATATGCTTTTAAATAAAGCATATTCTTAAATTTTAACGAAGCAATAATTTTGCAAATGGTACTGTACACTTTTGTTTAGTTCTCGCTCGATGATCGGTGGAGAAATGAGCTCCGCAGACAAATATGATTGAATTTGGAATTATGCTACGGCGCATCCTAATAAAGGGAACTAGCTTCTTGAAACGAACAGTACATCCACATGCTTTTTTACCCTTTAAATGCAGAAGAAGGCACTAAAATCTACGACTGATTATCTGATGGTCTAAGGCTGTGTATCAACTACTCGAACCGAACAAATAATGCAACGTACAACATTTTTTTTATTTGATTACGCGCACCGATCAATCAGTTGCCAGTTTTTATAACGAACACAAAGAGATTCCTATTTGCAACTGATACGTTATGTATTATGGTTATACGTGCGTAGGGAATATACAGGAAAACAGGAGTGCACGGAAGAAGAACAGTTTAGCTGCACTCGGGCATTTATTACGTATATTAACGCCATTATTTTAGGGCTATTTAGTATCTTACTGATAGAAAGCGTTCCAATATAATAATTTCCTACATTTCTTTACAAGAGATTTTTATTTATATTTATTTTGCAAGAGAAATAAATCTTGAAACTATGCAGAAAATAGGTGAAGTGCCTTTTTAATAATGCTCATGCAGCCTCAACTGAGTTTACTGTATTGAAGAAACTACTCAAATGGTCAGTCACATCTTCACCACCACATAATTTGCATGCGGTCAATTGTTTTAACGGGCGGGCTCTTCTTAGGGGGCCTTTAGGGGCATAAACAGATCTTAGTTTCGTCCAAATATCGTTTGAACGTTGAGATGCACTGATTGTCAGCTTTTGCAATATTATCCTGTTTTTGCAAAGTTTCCCGTTTAGTATCTCCTGCATCAGCTCCTTATCCATTTTTTACCAGTCAGCAAAAATAATTGATACCTCATACTAAAGTACAATTTTTTTTTAATTGCATAATAATGAACACAACTGGGCCCATAACTAACTATACTTATTTAGTTTAATTTAAAAGAAAACTGACTGTTTCAGTAAATAAAAAAGGATCACTTAAGAAGACTTTGTAGGAATAATAATTAAATCAGAAGCGAGTCCAAAAAGCATAATTATTAATAAAAATTGAAAACGGAAAGGCCCAATGCAGCTGAACGTCAATTTCGGTATTATCAATTTCGGCATTATCAGTCAACAAACAGAAAACGTAAATAAAACCTTGCCTGCGCGCAAATCGCTCGATAAGCACTGCCCTATTACGGTAAGCGCACATACATCAGAACTGAAATACATGCAATCATATGGTGCAAGGTTTATTAATTTGTGATACTGATGAAACGACCATCATCATCATAAGATCGTCAGTCCTAAGACTGGTTAGACACGCACCTCCTTCTCTTCTTATTCTGAGCTAATCTTCGCATTTCTCTAAAACTATTGGGTTGTTCGGAAAGTCATTTCGTTTTTTCCCGACAGAGGATTTAATTGTATTCTTTTGCACTTCACATTTAAGCCGTATAATTTTTATATGCTTTGAGAGCTCATATAACAAGGCTTGTGTGTGAAAAATTCCAATTAATTCTACGCAGTAGTTTTTGGTTGGTGCCCTTTTAAATATGGAGAGCGATAAGCAGCATTTCCGACATATCTTACTGTTTTACTACAGAAAGGGTAAAAATGCTGTTCAAGCCAGAAAGAAATTGACTGATGTGTATGGAGAAGGTGTGTTGACAGTACGCCAGTGCCAGAACTGGTTCGCTAAATTTCCATCCGACAATTTTGATGTGGAAGATACACCACGTTCGGGAAGGCCGGTTGAAGCTGATAAAGACGCGATAAAGGCATTAGTTGATGTGAACCGGCGAATAACAACACGTGAGATCGGATTGAGGTTAAATTTATCAAATTCAACAGTTTATGACCACTTGAAAGGCCTGGGATTATCCTCGAAGCTCGATGTATGGGTTCCCCATGTTCTCACAGAGAGAAATCTGTGTCGCCGCATTGACGTCTGCGATTCGCTTCTCAAATGTCACGAAAATGATCCGTTTTTGAAGCGCATCATCACTGGGGACGAAAAATGGGTTGTATACAACAACGTCAAACTCAAGAGATCATGGAGCAAAAAAGATGAACCGGCTCAAACCATTTCCAAAGCCGATATTCACCAAAAAAAGGTGATGCTGTCTGTTTGGTGGGATTTTAAAGGAATCGTTTTTTTGGAGCTTTTACCGGATAACACAATGATTAATTCGGAAGTCTACTGTCATCAGCTGGACAAACTGAATGATGCACTTCAACAGAAAAGGTCAGAACTAACAACAGGAAAGGTGTAGTGTTTCACCAAGACAACGCGAGACCTCACACAAGTTTGGTCACTCGCCAAAAGCTTTTACAGCTTGAATGGGATACAATGCTACACCCACCATCGGATTATTATTTGTTCCGGTCACTCCAAAATTTTTTAGACGGTAAAACCTTCACCTCAAATGAGGAGGTCAAAAACCTCCTCGATCAGTTTTTTGCCAGCAAAGACCAAAAATTTTATGAGCGTGGAATTATGCTACTACCAGAAAGATGGCAAAAGGTGTTGGACCAGAACGGTCAATATATAATTTAATAAAGTATTTGTGTATTATACGAAAACTGTCTTTCATTTCCACAAAAAAAAAAACAAAATGGCTTTCCGAACAACCCTATAGAACCCACATCCTTAACTATTTGCGGATAGTAGGTAATCTAATCTAGGTCTAGTTCTACTCCTCTTGTCAGAGTTGCGATGAAAAAATGGAAACAGTAGTTTACTTAGGATAATTTAATTGATAAGTACATGTGCTGTTCACAAAATGAGAGCTGAACCAAGACTAAAAACTAAAGACTGCTTAAGTATTTTCGTACATGTTATTTCTATATGAATAACCGTTTTCTTACAGACTAAACAAAGTCTATCGGCGACTATCGAACACATATCTAATAGATTTATGATTTTCCATCCATGACTGTTTATTAAGCTAACTCACGGCTACACGTCGCCGTTGTAATATAAACAATTACCAGTCTCAACACCTCTTAACTCTTTCTTCTGCCTCTAGTATGTTTCTGACTAGACTTTCATGCCGTGTCCTACCAACATATCTCGCCTATTTTTTATTGACTTCCATACAGTCCTCTGTACTCATATTCTTTGTGATACCTCTTAATTTACAATCATCTCTGTCCACGTTATCCTCATCAAAGTCCTGTATTACCATATTTCGAACGCTTTTAACCTTTTCTTTTCTGCCGCACCTGCCGTTCATGTTTCGCACCCGTATAGCGCCACACTCCAAACATACACCTTTAACAATCTTTTTCGAATTTCTAAATTAATCGTTCATGAGCATAGAAGTGACTTCTTTTTATTGTAGACGACTCGACCCTGCGCTATTGTTTACTTTATATCCCTACTACTTTTTCCGTCCGAACTTATCTGACTTCCTAAATACCTACAATCAGCCACTTCTTCTAATCTTTCGTCTCCTACCGTAACATTCGCACTTTTCTTCCCTTGCATACCAGTATTTTTGTTTTACTTGATGGAACGACCGACTTTATAAAAATCCTACACGACTCTGATAGTGAAAATCAAAATTTAAAATCGTTACCTAATCGAATTATTCCGATGGATTTCGCACATATTGCATTACCTATATGTAATCGAACAGCGTCTTTATCAGAAAGGCTATTTTATTGCAATTCGTTAATTAATTTTTTGTTAATTGATTCTCGTCTATTGTTGTTTTACTATTAGTTCAGAGGTCTGGTCGAGTTTGATTAAACATTCCGTCCTATGCATGTGTACACTGAAAGGTAAACTGTTATATCTGACACGTAAGCAGTTTAGCACTTCCACGATTACAAGCAAGGTAAATGGTCGTATCAGCTACTGTTCCGTCTCAGTTTTGCACACAAAACTCCAGCAGTTATGCACACTATCGCTGCTCCTCGTTATTTTATTTACTTTGCGCGTGTTTTAAGTGACGGAATTTTAAAAATTTGTCAGTGAACTCGTGTAGAAAATATGCCTATTGTTTCTTCGTATAAGACTAATTTTCATGTGGTACGTATTTGTAATGCATTTGTAATATCCGCTTTGTTTATTGTTTTACGAAATTAGTAAGTATCGGGAATGTATTATTTTATGGGAATACATGGTTTCACATCGAAGTGCCATTATTGTATCTACAAGTGATCTAATCAGTGAAGTACCTATAACCTCAAAATGCATTTTGTGAAACCCGATTTTTACTGGCGGGTCCCTAGTAAAAATTAAATCAATAAGCTTGGCTTTCCCTTTAAATGATTCAGATAGGTCGCAATTTTGACATTAGTTTCGCTTATCTCGTTGTTTTGCGCAGTCTTATCTAAATAACAAGCAAATACAGTACACAACGGTAAAACAAATTTGATATCATTACCGGGTACAAATATGCACAGAAAACTAAATCATCGTTTCTGTTTCATGTTAACCGTGATATTAATTAGTCACCATGATAAGGCAAGGCAGTTATTTAATTGTACAGAAACACAAAGCTCATCTTGGTACCTTTCTGCAAATTTAAAATGGCGTCTATTTAAGGGTTGCATTTAGATTTTGAAAATGTTGTAGCGGTTTCACTATTATATTATATTATCATAATATAATTATTTTATTGAAGTAGTCCATAATTATTGTATAAACTAGTATTAATGAATGGTAATCTGCTAATGCATATAACATATAACCGGAATTTTCCAGTACATTGTTTAAATGCTTACTCATGTTTATAATAGATACTAATTAGTTAATTTTATTTCATGGGTGCAATCACGTAACAAAATCTATAGCAATAATAGTGTCTTATTCATTTTTAACGAAAATCTAATTTGCTATTAGTAAAGGTGGAAATTAACCCCCCCCCACTCTCGATGATCTCGAGCTTGTAATGTGTTGTAGAGGATATACGTATGCATGTTAAGAGATGGGTCGGTACTCGGTTTGCATCCGGTACTCGGTGGATCCGGTGCTTCTTTTAGGATTCGACCGGATACTGGATGATGATACCCGGTGCCCAACAGTGCGGGATCTTAATTTGTATTATTTATTGATTGCTGTAATAAATTATTTGTTATTTTGATATAGTTCTTGTGTTTATTTTTTTTCGTGAACAAGAATACATCAGAGTATAGCCAAACTTACAATTTCTGTTACTTGTTGGTATATATCAGGTTTTGATAATGACAACTTACTGGTAAGAATTTGTCTCCTTGAGGACTTTTAGTGCTTATAAACGTTATACCCTGGTTTCAACGGTTTCAACTCAACCTTCTCGTTGAAAATACACCAATCAAAAATTAAAATTTCAGTGGGTTAGTGTTAAAATGACTTTTTGAACAGGACTTAATGTGGTTTAGGGTGTTATGAGGGTGGTATTTAGTGCAAAGCCCTCCAAAACATAGACATGAACCATTAACCATAGTACACTCCGAGAAAACTGTAGAAGAAACTTCTACAATTGTAGAACATTTCATTACTAATACTAGCGAATATAGGGACAGAAACAAGTTGTAGTGTAAATTAATATAGTATTGTAATTACTCTATTGTCTACAAACTGTTTGTCTCTCTACCATAACAACAAAGAATATGTACTGCAAATTCTTCTTAAAAATTACTTTTCGTTGTAGCATATCTCTATACAATAATTAAAAAAATATATACAAAATTGTAGCATATTTGTTTACAACTATAACGCAAATAAATATTTAATAAAAATTGCTACATTTTTTCTTTATATTTTCTACAAAATTTATTTAATCTTACTACAATTTGTAATGAAATTCACGAAGTTGTTGTCGTAAATATTTCA